AAGCCACCTGAGATGCTGGACAGCTCCCTGCCTGATTCCTTAGACAACCTTGCCTTGTGTGTTGTGTTCTCTTGAACCTTTTCCCTTTGCTCCTACTATGAACTTCCTAAATAAGCCATGTCTTTGCACTTCCTGTTTGCCAGATTTTGTGCTCTCTCCAGTCAATATCTCGCTCTTGTCGCTCTTGCTGCTGTCTGTATCTTTGCTATCACTCGTTACCAACCTTTAGCTTGGTCCCAGGGGCGGCACTGAAAAACTCATGGGGCCCCCTGGCAATAGGGGATCATGGGGCCCCTGTCTCCTTGCCCACACCCAAAAAAGCCTATGAAAGGTACCAGGGGCATCTCATGGGGCCCCTACTGACCCCAGGCCCTCAGGCATTGCCCGAGTGCCTGAATGGTCAGTCCGCCCCTGCTTGGTCCTCGATTACACTTCCGCTTGTTTCCAACCTGCAGCCACTTGTTACCAATTTTTGGCTTGTTCCTCAACTATGCTTCTGCTTGATCACAACCTCTAACCACTTGTTTCTGACCTTTGGCTTGTTTACTGACTTCGCTTCTGCTTATTCCTACCTGCTACTGGCCCCAGTTTGCTAACCTTCTGGTGGGGTGATTCTGAGGACTGGGACCTGGTACTAACACACAGCAAAACCCATCTCCACCATCAGGAGCTCTGGTAAATACTTGTTAGTGCTTAGACCGCATACCTTGAATGCACCTGCATCCTCCACCAAGGAGACTTGCTTATACATCTATCCTGCTGGTCGGTGGAAGCCTTGCTACTGCTATAGCTACTCTGAGCATGACCCCTGACATGTACTTGTCACTACCATTTTTCATATCACTGTACATTGCATTCATTAAGAAACACATACGTTCTATAAAAGGTTTTTTAATTAACTACACTTCCTGCTGACACCACCAGCTGTGGAAGGGAGTTACACATCCTTATCGCTCTAATAGTAAAGAACCCTTTACACAGTTTAAGACTGAACTACTTCTCATCCAACTTCATTGTGTGGCTGCACGTCCTCATTAGAGACCTTAGGTTAGTTTCCTTTCAATGCTAGGATCTCCATTTTATAGATTTGCATATTGTGATCATATCCCCTCTTAAATGCCTCTTCTCCAGGGAGAATACACTTAATGTTTGTAGTAATCATTTCTCATGACTGAGGTGCTCCAGCCCCCTTATTAGCTTTACTGCCCTTCTCCAGACTCTCTCCAGTTCAAGGACGTCCTTCCTCAAGATTAGTGACCAGAACTGAATCACATACTCAAGATGTGGATGAACCAATGCATGTTGTAGTTGGTAGATGGTGTGACTTGGCAATCAAACCTCATTCAAGTTAATGTAACAGCACCAAAACTTTATTGCAACGTTTGCTGGAAAGGGTAATTGGCAGTGTGCAGAGGGTTCCTCCGGGATTTCCATTGTTAATATGTGGCTACACCCCTTTAGCACCTGATCAATAAATGCATGCACAAGCTATTGGGATTGAGCACAGATATGTCTTGTTTCAGCTCTACAACTGTGTCGCAAATGCATCTAAGGCACGTGGTTATGGCACGGTCCTACATGATACCTCTTGTGGATCAAAGATGGGCATTCAGGAGGCAGCATGTCACCTCCTTAACACTTGCCAGTCAGCTCTAAACAGCATCTTAAAAGCAATCTACCATGGATCTCTTTCAGGGGTGTTTAAAAATTTACTTTTTAAGTCTCTTCCACTTGTGCTCTCCAAGACAACATACTCAGAGAGATACTGGGAACCTATAGATTTGCAACAACAGTACCTCAAATCATAGAAATACAGAAATGAGCACCAGACCAAAACCTGATAAAGGAGTAAAGGAGTACAAGATCATTTAAAAAAAAAAAAGGTCAGACAAAAACAGCCAACACATTTTGAGAGAAACACCGCTCCCCCTTCATTAGGACTCAGCACAGGATTATATATATATATATATATATATATATTCAGAAAGTATTCAGACCCCCTTCACTTTTTTCAATTTTGTTATGTTGCAGCCTGATACTACAGTTGTTTATAGTGGGTATAGAAATGAATCACACCCCTCTTTAAAATAATCACAGTTTGTTGCTTTGCAGCCTGAAATGAAGACAGGCACAGTTTGTGTTTCATCCAGCTGTATTAATTTATAACATCCTAATATTTCATGCTGCTCTAATCCACAGCTGATCACAGTTGAAAGTCTAATGGCTTTCTGTGCCATTGAGGAAGTGATTAGCTACACCTGCTTGAATTTACAAGTCATTTTTAGGAGGGGGGGTGATCCTTTTCCCAACTCTGATTCCGTCTTTTTATTTACATTTTAAAGGGGGGGGGGTGTTAATATTTTCTATATCCACTGTAAATTCATTTTTTTCTCCTTAATCTATACTTAGTACCCCATAATGACAAAGTTAAAACAGAATTTTAGAAATATCTGTGCATTTATTGAAAAACTGAAATATCACATTGGCATGAATATTCAGACCCTTTGCAATAACACTTTTGTTTAGCTCATGTGCCTTCCCATTTTTCTTGATCGATGCTGAGATATTTCTACACCTTGATTGGAGTCCACCTGTGGTAAATTAAATTGACTGGACATGATTTTGAAAGGCACAGACCTCTCTATAAAAGGCCTCACAGCTGACAATGCATACTGTATCAGAGTAAAAGCTATGAGGTCAAAGAAACTGCCTGCAGAGCTCAGACACAAGATTCTTGCAAGGCACAGATCTGGCTACTAAAAAATTTCGGCTGCACTGAAGGTTCCCAAGAGCACAGTGGCCTCCATAATTCTCAAATGGAAGAAGTTTGGCACAACCAGGACTCTTCCAAGAGCTGGTCAAACTAAGCAATCTGGGAGAAGGGCCTTAGTAAAGGTGAACAAGAACCTGATGGTCACTGAACTCCAGAGATACTGTGTGGAAATGGGACAAAGTTTCAGAAGGACAACCATCAATGCAGCCCTCCATTGATCTGGACTTTATGGCAGAGTGGCTAGATGGAAACTTCTTCTCAGTGCAAAACACATGAAAGCCTGCTTGGAGTCTACAAAAGAAAGCACCTGAAGGACTCTCAATGTGCTTTCCAACAGTCATTCATCAAGGCGCTGGGTGGGAGGAGCCAGGGGGCCTACATCTGAAGTTATCTCTGACACCCTGAAATTTCGCCTGAGGATCCAGTTTGCATAGCCTCACTGGAAGGCACCTGAAGAAAGATGAAAGGGCACAGCTGATCCCATAGCCTTGAGAGTACTGTTTTACTACAAGATCCTAGTGACTGTGCACTACTGGGATTGCTGGTTGCATCCCAACCAGTCCTCTTTAGTTTTGTGAAAGTAATTCCTCTCTTGAGAGGTTCATACAGTTGGTCTCCTCTAGTTTCTCATGGGGAAACCATCCTTTGAACTTGGGTAAAGTAGTTCCCCTCCTGAGGAGTACATACCTCTGATCCTTTCTCGTCTTTTATGGGGGGACTGTACTCTGAGCTGAGCAGAAGACCTGTTCCTGCAGTTTGCAACATAAAGAAGTATTGTCCTGCGTATATTTGGTGAAGTTGGAGTATCCCATATCACCCTATCCCAAGTTATTCAGCAATAAAATCCTAAAAGACACCTCAAGGCTGATCATTGTGCCTGTCTACCTCTGTACTAAATCTGGGGAATAACTGGTTAATTTAAGCGGCTCTTTCAGGGACAGCACTACAATATATACATGCACTGGCCAATTTATTAGGTACACCTTGCTAGTTGCAAGAAAATATCCCCCACATCATTACACCACCACCAGCCTGAACTGTTGATGCAAGGCAGGATGGATTCATGCTTTCATGTTGTTTATGCCAAATTCTGACCCTACCATCTGAATGTCGCAGCAACCAGTCTATCAATCCTCTTTTGACATCAACAAGGCATTTTCATCCACACAAATGCCACTCACTGGATATTTTCTCTTTTTCAGTCCATTCTCTGTAAACTCTAAACATGGTTGTGTGTGAAAATCTCAGAAGATCAGAACATTTTGAAATACCACATTCAAAGTCACTTAAATCCCCTTTCTTTCCCATTCTGATGCTTGGTTTGACCTTCAGCAAGTCGTCTTCACCATGTCTATATGCCTAAATGCATTGAGTTGCTGCCATGTGATTGGCTGATTAGCAATATGTGTTACCAGGCAATTTAACAGATGTACCTAATAAAGAGGCCAATGTTTGTGTGTGTATATGTACATATACACTATATTACCAAAAGTATTGGGTCAGCCTGCCTTTACACACACATGAACTTTAACGGCATCTCAGTCTTAGTCCGTAATGATCAATATTGAGTTGGCCCGCCCTTTGCAGCTATAACAGCTTCAACTCTTCTGGGAAGGCCGTCCACAAGGTTTAGGAGTGTTTCTATGGGAAGGTTTGACCATTCTTCCAGAAGCACATTTGTGAGGTCAGGCAGTGATGTTGGACGAGAAGGCCTGGCTCACAGTCTCCACTCTAATTCATCCCAAAGGTGTTCTATTGGGTTGAGGTCAGGACTCTGTGCAGGCCAGTCAAGTTCCTCCACCCCAAACTTGCTCATCCATGTCTTTATGGGCCTTGCTTTGTGCCCTGGTGTGCAGTCATGTTGGAACAGGAAGGGACCATCCCCAAACTCTTCCCACAAAGTTGGGAGCATGAAATTGTCCAAAATGTCTTGGTATGCTGATGCCTTAACAGTTCCCTTCACTGGAACTGAGGGACCAAGCCCAACCCCTGAAAAACAACCCCACATCATAATCCCCCTCCACCAAACTTTATACGTAGCACAATGCAGTCAGGCAAGTACTGTTCTCCTGGGAACTGCAAAAACTCAGACATGTCCATCAGATTGCCAGAGAAGGAACCATGATTGGTCACTCCAGAGAACACGTCTCCACTGCTCTAGAGTCCAGTGGCAGCGTGCTTTACACCACTGCATCTGACGCTTTGCATTGCACTTGGTGATGTAAGGCTTGGATGCAGCTACTCAGCCATGAAATCCCATTCCATGAAGCTCTCTATGCACTGTTGTTGTGCTAATCTGAAGGCTACACCAAGTTTGGAGGTCTTTAGCTACTGACTCAGATAGTTGGTGACTTCTGTGCTCTGTGCGCTTCATCATTCAATGACCCGGCTCTGTCATTTTACGTGGCCTACCACTTTGTGGCTGAGTTGCTGTTTTTCCCAGTTGCTTCCACTTTGTTATAATACCACTAACAGTGGTATATTTAGTGGCAAGGAAATTTCACTGATGGACTTATTGCATAGGTGGCAACCTATCACGGTACCATGCTTGGAGTCACTGAGCTCCTAAGAGCTACCCATTCTTTTCACAAATGTTTGTAGAAGCAGTCTGCATGCCTAGGTGCTTGATGTTATACACCTGTGGGCATGGAGGTAATTGGAACACCTGAATCCAATGATTTGGAGGGGTGTCCCAATACGTTTGGCAATATAGTGTGTGTATAATATAGTGTGTGTATGTATGTATGTATGTATATATATATATATACAGTGGGGCAAAAAAGTATTTAGTCAGCCACCAATTGTGCAAGTTCTCCCACTTAAAAAGATGAGAGAGGCCTGTAATTGGCATCATAGGTAGACCTCAACTATGAGAGACAAAATGAGAAAAAAAATCCAGACAATCACATTGGCTGATTTGGAAAGAATTTATTTGCAAATTATGGTGGAAAATAAGTATTTGGTCAATATCAAAAGTTCATCTCAATACTTTGTTATATATCCTTTGTTGGCAATGACAGAGGTCAAACGTTTCCTGTAAGTCTTCACAAGAATGGCACACACTGTTGCTTGTATGTTGGCCCATTCCTCCATGCAGATCTCCTCTAGAGCAGTGATGTTTTGGGGCTGTCGCTGGGCAACACAGACTTTACTCCCTCCAAAGGTTTTCTATGGGGTTGAGATCTGGAGACTGGCTAGGCCACTCCAGGACCTTGAAATGCTTCTTACGAAGCCACTCCTTCGTTGCCCGGGCGGTATGTTTGGAATCATTGTCATGTTGGAAGACCCAGCCACGTTTCATCTTCAATGCCCTTGCTGATGGAAGGAGGTTTGCACTCAAAATCTCACGATACATGGCCCCATTCATTCTGTCCTGTACATGGATCAGTCGTCCTGGTCCCTTTGCGGAGAAACAGCCCCAAAGCATGATGTTGCCACCCCCATGCTTCACAGTAGGTATGGTGTTCTTTGGATGCAACTCAGCATTCTCTCTCCTCCAAACACGACGAGTTGTGTTTCTACCAAACAGTTCTATTTTGGTTTCATCTGACCATATGACATTTTCCCAATCCTCTTCTGGATCATCCAAATGCTCTCTAGCAAACTTCAGACGGGCCCGGACATGTACTGGCTTAAGCAGGGGGACATGTCTGGCACTGCAGGAGCTGAGTCCCTGGAGGCGTAGTTTGTTACTGATGGTAGCCTTTGTTACGTTGGTCCCAGCTCTCTACAGGTCATTCACTAGGTCCCCCCGTGTGGTCCTGGGATTTTCGCTCACCGTTCTTGTGATCATTTTGACCCCACGGGGTGAGATCTTACGTGGAGCCCCAGATCGAGGGAGATTATCAGTGGTCTTGTATGTCTTCCATTTCCTAATTATTGCTCCCACAGTTGATTTGTTCACACCAAGCTGCTTGCCTATTGCAGATTCATTCTTCCCAGCCTGGTACAGGTCTACAATTTTGTTTCTGGTGTCCTTCGACAGCTCTTTAGTCTTCACCATAGTGGAGTTTGGAGTGTGACTGTTTGAGGTTGTGGACAGGTGTCTTTTATACTGATAACAAGTTCAAACAGGTGCTATTGATACAGGTAATGAGTGCAGGACAGAGGAGCCTCTTAAAGAAGAAGGTACAGGTCTGTGAGAGCCAGAAATCTTGCTTGTTTGTAGGTGACCAAATACTTATTTTCCACCATAATTTGCAAATTAATTCTTTCCAAATCAGCCAATGTGATTGTCTGGATTTTTTTTCTCAATTTGTCTCTCATAGTTGAGGTCTACCTATGATGCCAATTACAGGCCTCTCTCATCTTTTTAAGTGGGAGAACTTGCACAATTGGTGGCTGACTAAATACTTTTTTGCCCCACTGTGTGTGTATATATATATATATGACACACACTGCTCAAAAAAATTAAAGGAACACTTTTTAATCAGAGTATAACATGATGTAAATTAAACTCCTGGGATATTGATCTGGTCAGTTAAGTAGCAGAGGGGGTTGTTAATTTCATTAGCCCCAAAGCAGCTGAAACTGATTAACAACAGGTACACTAGTTGGGCAACAATAAGACTACCCCCAAAACTGGAATGGTTTTACAGGTGGAGACCACTGGTATTTTTTTTCCCTACTCATCTTTTCTGACTGTTTTTCACTAGTTTTGCATTTGGCTAGGGTCAGTGTCACTACTTGTAGCATGAGGCGATACCTGGACCCTACAGAGGTTGCACAGGCAGTCCAAGTCCTCCAGGATGGCACATCCATATGTGCCATTGCCAGAAGGTTTGTTGTGTCTCCCAGCACAGTCTCAAGAGTATGGAGGAGATTCCAGTAGACAGGCAGTTACATTAGGAGAGCTGGACAGGGCCAAAGTTGGTCCTTACCCATCAGCAGGACCAGTATCTACTCCTTTGTGCAGGGAGGACAGGATGAGCACTGCCAGAGCCCTACAAAATGACCTCCAGCAGACCACTGATGTGAATGTCTCTGACCAATCAGAAACCGACTTCATGAAGGTGGCCTGAGGGCCCGACGTCCTCTAGTGAGCCCTGTGCTCACTGGCCTGCACCATAGAGCTCGATTGGTATTGCCATTGAATACCAGAATTGGCAGGTCCACCACTGGCGCCCTGTGCTTTTCACAGATGAATGCAGATTTAACCTGAGCACGTGACAAACGTGAAAAGGTCTGGAGAAGCCATGGAGAACGTTATGCTGCCAGTAACACTGTTCAGCATGACCGTTTTGGTGGTGGGTCAGTGATGGTCTGGGGAGGCATATCCATGGAGGGACACACAGACCTCTACAGGCTAGAAAATGGCACCCTGACTGCCATTAGGTATCGGGATGAAATCCTTGGACCCATTGTCAGACCCTATGCTGGTGCAGTGGGTCCTGGGTTCCTCCTGGTGCATGACAATGCCCGGCCTCATGTAGCGAGAGTATGCAGGCAGTTCCTGGAGGAAGAAGGAATTGATACCACTGAATGGTCGCCATGCTCGCCTCATCTAAATCCAATAGAACACCTCTGGGATATCATTATTCTGTCTCTTATGTCACCAGGTTGCATTGAAAATGGAAGTGTTGTAACATTCTTTTGCTTCCGCTGTGTGATGAGACACCTAGTTATCAGGTGGGAATCCTCAATTTTGTCATTCACTGTGTGCGCTGCTAGTATACAGAGTCATGTCAGAGCTTATTGAGCTTCAAAGAGGGCAAATTGTTGGTGCTGCTTAGCTGGTGCCTCTGTGTCTGAAGTTGTCAATTTATTTGCCGTGTAGGGGGGTACAGTATCAAAGATTATGACGGTATATACAGTTTCCTAGAAAACGTCATCCAATAAGCAGAAGCGCGGTATATATGGTCAACTGACTGAAAAAAGACAAAAGGACATTGCGCAGGATTGTGGCCCGGAATAAGAAAACAGCTGCTGCAAAAGTGAACCAGCTAAAACTACCAAACCCTTGTGAGCTGCTATTACATAAAAAAAACACTAATACACATAATCTGTATAAGGAATCACCCACACTATTCACACCCTCATATATGACTTGTTGAAATGTTATAAAATCAATATCCACCAGTGCCAAGCTTCCCTTAACATATAACCATCAACTCAAATATGTGCTTCTAAGAATCATATGAACCATCAAAAAAAATGTCATAATTGTGCAGTCCAACAAAATGTCCTAATATATATCTTCTGTGCTTCAGAATGGTGTTATAAACTGCCTTTTACTTCTTCATTCCTTATCTGCACCTCCTATGTGCCAAAAATGCTGTTATAAATGAGACCCACCACAGCAACAGTTGTGAAAATGTGGAATAGACTCCCTCAAGAGTTGGTTCTGGCCAGCTCAGTGAATTGCTTTAAAATAGACCTGGATTCTTTCTTGGATACACAGAATATAACTGGATACTAACATTTATAGGTAAAGGAGATCCAGGGAATATCCGATTGCCTCTCGGGGGATCAGGAAGGAATTTTTTCCCAGCAGGAGCAAATTGGATCATGCTTTGCTGTTTTTTTTTGCCTTCCTCTGGATCAACTGTGGGTATAGGATTATAACTTTTTTTTTTTCTTTAATGGTTGAACTGGATGGACTATTTTTCAGAAAGACTATGTAACAAATCCCATAGTCCATCTCGGAAGAGAACAAGAGAGGGTAGTTCTGTTCCTACAGACAGTTAGGAGATCTGGCGGAGTGAATTTAAATACTGATATGACTTGATAACCTTGGAAGGAGTCTTCTGCTGACTTGGACAAGATGTTAATGAGGTTGATGTGGGGTACCTTTTTTTTTTATGGTTGAATTAGATGGACTTTTGTCTTCTTTCAGACAGACTAACTATGTAGTGTTTCCAGTGTGTGTGTGTGTGTTTTACATGTGTAAAAAAAAAAAAAAAAGTATTTTAAAATTGCGTTTTTTTTTTATTTTTACATTTTAAAATCTTATAAAGTATTATTTTATATAGTATTTTAAAATTACAATCATTTCAGGTTAGTATTTGCTTCAGTTCCATTTTATTCCTTAAGTAGAGGGATTTAGCGGTTGATCCGCTGCTGTAAGGTCAAAAATATATTAACTCATGAGTGCTTTGCAGTACTTCACGTTATGGAGAGCGGAGAGCTGCAGGGTTCTTGCAACAAAGTGAATAACTGAAATGGTATTGGCTATCTGCCAGCTTCTATTATAGTGAATGAGGGACTAAGGGAATAAGAAGATACATAGCACTGTAATGCTTTTTTTATATACTTGGTACATGACAGACGAAATCTCTAGAACACAAACTGGATGGATATAAATGAAGTGTAGGCCTTTCTTCTTAGCCTAGAAAAGTGCAGGCTGCTATGTAAGAATTCAACAGCCCAAAGACAGGTTTACTTATTCATGGAAATTAAAGTACTTTTGTTTGGAACTTTACACAGATCCGGTTGTGCAAGTCTTGTGGCACATGGATATTCTATAATGCCAAAAGACACCCCTTTTACGACCTCTGATTGACAGGAGGCTCTCAGTGAGATTGTGGTTGTGGCTCCTGATTTATTATGACTTTAGTTAACCATTTAAAGTGCTACTAAACCCAGGACTCTGCATTCACTATACCTGTTCTCCCC